GGTTGTGCAGTCTGGCAGTATACACAACCTCCATACCAAACATGTCATGGCGTACAACACTGAAATCCATGCCCAAGAAAAACCAAATCCATCTCAAGTTCTACCTGCTCTTGGAATAATTAAATCCGAACATCAAAACTTGCCCCGCCACTAAACTGTTTTGCTCCTTTCCATATAATGCTTAACAAACTAACACCAATGGATTTCCTACACGAAAATAATAGCTGTGCCATGAAGATAGAACGTCAATCCAGATGGCTGCTAAGAGAGGCTGGACGCCGATGACGATCTGATGGAATGCCGGGCATATGCTGGTTACAGAGCCAAGAATTATGTGGATCCATCAGCTAATATCAAAACCAATCTTCGCTGGGCCCACGAACATCAACCAGACTGACAGTATGCATAGAATTAAATCCAACTATTTAGCTAAAAATGAACCTGTTTATTCATCTACAGGGTACTAAATATATCTGTTTCAAGATTATTGCAGCAAGTAAGTGCAGCGTGTCACAGGATAAGCTCAATGTAGGTGCACGTAATGCGCTAAACTTTTCTACACAGCACATGGCTTCTCTCGAGATCTGGCTATGCATCAAATTAACAAATTCAAATGAGAAGCAAAAGCCAGAAGAAAATATAAATTTACAAGGAAGGTTTTTTTACTTACAAATTCGGACGAAGGAATAACTGCCCCCCGCGTGCCCCCCGCGTCGCCCTCCCCGAGCGAGGCGACCGGGGTGGTTCCCCACCCCTCCCCCTCCCCGCGAGTCCCCGCCCCCCTTCCCCCTCGCCGCTGCCGCCGGCGGGCGCGGCCGGGCGTTGCCCGCGCGGCGCCCCGCAGTCCGGCGGTGGCGGCCCTCCTTCTTCCCTCGTCGCTGGACCCCGGCTCGGGCAAGCGGTCCTGGCGGCGGAGCCCCTTCGGCCGGCGGTGTTCCGGCGCGGATCTGGACGGCGGCGGTGCGGAGGCGTTGCCCCTTGGCGGCGGTGACGACCCATGGCTTGCAGCGGCCGGCGGCGCCCGGCTGGCCCAGATCTAGGCCCTACGGGCCCGATCTGGGTCGGGGCGGGCCTGCTGGGTGGCCGCAGTGGGCTGTTCTCCGGTGGTTTCTGGCGAGCTCCTCGCGACAAGGACGACAGCTGCTGTGCCGCGACTGCTGCAGCACGGCGGCGGAGCTTCACGGGCCCACGCTGGGCCTGGCCGGACAGGGGGTCTGGTGTGCCTCTGCTGCTATGCCCGGTCTGCTACCGCCTAAGCCGGTGGAGGTTGTTCCCTCCCTCGTGGCTGCGGTGCTGCCGGTCCTTGTCTTCGGGTGTCTCGTTTGGATCCGGCCGGCCTCGCTTCATTGGTCGTGGTGAGACGACGGCGGTGTCCTCGTGACTGTTGGCGCATGTTGGTGGGCGGCGGGTGTGGTGGAGCCGAAGGTTGGTCCTGGGTGGTGGGCGCGAGAGGTCGGGAGAAATCCATGTCGGGTCTTGCCGGCACCAACGCGGTGACGCCTGCGGGCGCCGCCATCCTTCTTGAAGGGCGTCGGGTGACCCTCTCCCCCCTCTACCCTCCGTGTACCGGGAGAAATCCTAGGATTCGTCCGGGCAGCAGCGTCGTCATCGTCGCATTCCTTCTTGAAGGTGGTGCTTGGTACACGGCAACTCGGTGGCTTTGGAGCGTGGTGGTTATCTTTGGTGGGCGCAGCGATCGCGGTGTGCCGTAGCTTTCGTTGATCCGACGTTGTTGGCATTTCTTCTCTTATTTTCTCTTGTTATTTCTTTTGGGCGTGCTTGTGCTGTTTGCCCCAGCGTGGATCGGATTGTTGTATCGGGTGGTTGCTATATCAATATAGCGGGGCGTAAGCCTATTTCGGTACTTACAAATTCAGAAAAAATAAAGACGGCTGATGTTTGGTACTCAATAAGTAAGAATAATGGGTAAAGGTTGTGTGAAAATCATAATAAAAATATATGTCCAGGGGCACACACCAAAGGCTCATTTCAACAAATGGTTTGATATGAAATGGGCATGCTACTCACACGGTGGGTGGTTTGAACAAAAAGAATAGGGATAAAATATTGATCCAGCAACCAGCCCATGATCCTTGTCAAGTGGATCTTGTTTCCTATCACCATAGCATGCCAGCACCTGCGCACAAAGCTTCAGTTTCTGATTAGCAAGAGTTTCCACCAAAGAAAATACCAGAACGGACGACAGGGCGGCAGCCAGCATTACACGCTCACAGCTAAATATGCTGGGTTAGCAATCCATTAAAAAAATTGTACCAAGATCCACCGCCAGACTTCACCACACTGCTGGTTCTTTGCTGCCGATTGTTGGAACATGGTAATAGTAGTGGACACACTAAAAAATTACTTGTACTAAACATGAGACGACTTTGCTGTTGTAATCGAGATGCTGCTGCCAGATCTCAAGCCATAGAAGACAGCATCTGGGAGATGTAATGGCGTGATTCTTCATGTCTACCAGTTGACTGCTACTGCTTATACACTTCTTCTGTATATATAGGCCTCTGCCGAATGGTAACATCAAACCAGAAGTTGTTCTACTCTTCTCCTCTCTACTCTCTTTCACAACGATACATAGAAAAGCTTCCAGATCAGATATGGCTTTCCACATGAGATCCATAAGTTTGCCTTCTAGGCCTCAGGCCAATGAGACCGAGGTCGAGCAAGAACTGCTGAGCCTAGAGGCAAGCATCTCTTCTTCCATCACCATCGGCATGATGTGTGATGGTCTGAGGAGGCTCGGAGACATCTACAATGGTGTTGAAGAGGTGATTCGCCTACCAAGAAACCAAGTTAGCTCCACTCAGCAGAGGAAGATGTTGGATGGAGAGATGGAATGCTCTCTTGAGTTGTTGGACCTCTACAGTAACATGCAAGAGATCTTCGTCGAAATGAAGGCCATCATTCAAGAGCTGCAAGTGGCTCTAAGAAAAGGGGATGATGCAGCTGCTCAAGCCAAGATCCAATCTTATGCCCGCTTGGCGAAGAAGGCCAAGAATCATTTCAAGAAGGCCACAAAAAAGACTCCTGCAGATTGCAAGATGGTCATGCTATTGACCAAGGCCAGAGGGATCTCTGTCTCTCTGCTGGAGTCCACACTCCATCTCTTGTCGAAGAAAATTGAAATGCCTAAACAGTCTCTTGTTTCCAAGGCATTTCACCAAAAGAAGGCAGTTGTCTGCAAAGAGGAGCAATTGCAGGAGCTAGAGTGCAGTATCGGAGATCTTGAGAGTGGAACAGGACATCTGTTCAGGAAATTAGTCCAGTGCAGAGTTTCTCTACTCAACATTCTTAGCTCGTAGATACTCCAAGTCACTCTTGACGCCCTGTGGTTGGCATCCGCCTTTTAAGGAATAGCTGATCTTCATGCAATTTTTCCATATGTATACACTATACAGTATAAATGTACAGGAAACCATAGAAAGAGAAACCAAAGTTTTGATCCATTCGACCATTTCATGCTTGAAGATGTGTTTGTCATCCCAGTACACTTTATTTTGATATCCTTGGTTAGTCAATCTTGTTCCTTAGGCATGAAGCATGCCAGATTTCCACCACCACCACCACATGGCTGTGCGCACTACAAGTGAATATATTTCTTGCTTCAGAATGCAACAAATTCCAAATTAGTGTACTCAAATTATAATATCGTTAACATCTGTATCATTAAAGCATCGAGGCAAAAAAATTTAGCACAAACATGTACCCTGGAGCCACAACTCTGCTTTTGTCCTACAGGATTCACAATAATTTGGGCAAGAACTAATCCAAACTTTGCCAGGACGCAAAGTTTGTGTTCCTTTCCATAGTTTATATGCTTATTGGCACACATCAAAAGCATGTTTCTGTACATGCTTATCGGAGATCTTCAGAATGGAGCAGGACATCTGCTCAGGGAATTAATTCAGAATTGAGTGTTCTCTCCAAAAGAAAATTCGGTATAGGTGGAGAGGCCCTCGCGTCGCCCGGGCAGGCGACTCGGGGGCGACTAGGGTTTGCCTCCTGCCGCCACCTTCCCCATCCACCTCCCCCCTTGCTGCCACCTAAGACGGCCGTCGGACAAGCCCGTGCGGGTGCCGGTGATGGTGGCGGCAGGGATCTAGTCGCTCTACCCCTTGGTGGAAGACTGCGGATCCTAGGCGCGCGCGGGAGGTAAAGCTGGTCGGAGGCTTGGCCGTGAGGGCGGTGAGCCACCGGCGGGAGTTGGTCGCCACGCAGTGCTGCCCTGCGTCAGATCTGGAGGTTCAAGCTCCTCTCCCCTGCCCTCTCTCTCCCTCTGGCCTCGGCGGCAGCCGGCCTCGTCCGTTTGCCTGGTGCAGGAGGGTTCTGGTGGAGGGGTTAGGGACTGGGGGAATCCCTGGTCTGGCCCGACGTTGGTGACGGCCAAGGTCGCCACTTTCCTCCTTGGA